CACTACAACAAAAATAGCCTACGGCAACGTTCAAAAAACGTTGCCGTAGACCTTTTGCAACGTTTAGACGTGTGTTGCAAATCAAGGTGTTACCGTAGAGTAGGACCCCTACGGCAACGTTTAAAAAACGTTGCCGTAGACCCCCTACGGCAACGTTTTTTTAAACGTTGCCGTAGGGGTCCTACTCTACGGTAACACCTTGATTTGCAACACACGTCTAAACGTTGCAAAAGGTCTACGGCAACGTTTTTTGAACGTTGCCGTAGGCTATTTTTGTTGTAGTGTGTTCTTGTTTCAGAATAACGAAAAAAAGGGTCAAGTGATATTTTGAATCAAATTAATCATCCATTGTATATTAAAATTGAGCAGCGAATAATAATTTATCATATGATGCATGAATGCACATATAGATACATCTAACTATAATAATGCAACAATTTCCTGATCCTTATGACCCAACATGCTTCTCTAGAGAAAATGTCATTATATCCACCATTCAAGCTGGAACCCTTTCACTAGACAAATTATATCTAATAATATATGTCTATATAAGTCTAGTATCATTTTGTTTGGTCACCAAATGAGAGCCTCTATAGGAGGTTCGTAGATGATCTTGATTTAAATATATAACATTTGTCTCAATCTCTAAATATTTGAAAATAATTTTGTCATCTATATGATAATCACAAATTATATTCTATCTAGATGATCTTATAATAAAGAAATTCAATCAACCAACTTGAACTACGCGATCCTTTTATAGAGAATCCGTTGTATTAGTAGCACGATGCAGACGTGTTACTTATTTATGGATTAACCAAAGGAGACCACGAGTTTTTATTTAAATAAATACTCTTCCACTCAATATTTTTAAACTAATGTATTTTAATTTTAAATAATTATCAACAGTTCACGTTAATTAAATTAACATACAGTTCGATTATTGTAATTTTTTCATACAGAAAAAATTAATCTAAATTAAATTAATCAAGGAAAAATCGTTGTTTAAAGACTGCACTCTCGGAATATATAAGAACACAAAAGTCAATAAATTTGTAATACTTTCCTCTAACTTGTCGTATATATATTTTATTCTTGTCCTGTATTCGATAATTAGGTACGAACATAAATGATCATTTTGCCATTCTAATTATTCTCATTAATTTAAGTATCATTTTCTTCAATGATCTTGTGAACTAATTATAGATATTGAAGTTTAGATGTCGCTAAACACCAAACTCAGATTTTAATCGTTCAACAGAAAATACTTAAGTATTCACTCTATCCATTTCTCAGGGCGAAGGTTCCTGACACGAATTTATGTTCTCTACTTCGCTCATTCTCAATCTCCCAACTTATTGAGATTTTGACCAATTAAATTGATTCACCCATTGGTAAATCAAAGAACCATTAAAGTCACGAAAAGATATACGTAATCCCATCAAGGAATTTATCAAGTGGAATTTAAATCTTCGCACGATCATGCCGTAGAATTAAACTTGTTCAATTCACTCCAAGTGCACTAGTGTCACTTTTAACTATTTCTGTGATAAGGACAAATCACAAACTCGAATAATGAATCGATCAACACTACAACCTTCCACTATAAGGTGCCAACCCTTATACATTGATCATAACCAAATTATTTATGATCAAAATATAAATTATTTCAAAATATACTTCTCAACGCAAATATTCAACTTAGATTATTACATGTGATTATAGGCATTTTAACTTGCATACTCAATAATAAATGAATGCAATAAATAAATAAATAAAACAACAGTTTATTTATTATAAAATATTATTTTCTCACAACAAAATATATTATATGGGCACACAACCCAACAATTCATACTAGCTATATACAATTGTAACACTCCAAACGGAAAAAGTAAGTTATGATTTTTTCTCTGTGTAAATTATAAACAACTTTATATACCGAACGGGCACCAATGAGTACATCATCTTTAAAATTGTAACCTTCTCGTGGCATATAAGCTACTAATATGTTTTTCTTGAAAGCAAGTTTGACACCTACTGTAGCAGCACCATATGCTAAATCCAACAATCTTTTTAGTATCATGATTGATCATGATGTTTGGCAAGCTTTGCAAGAAGGCCTACTGCCAATGAATTCGTGTATGTTGTGGGTTCAGTCATGGATGAATTAGAACGTTGATCAACGAAATTATCCTGCTTGTCAGGGCCGCCGACTATGGCACCCGTTAGCTCATTTGGGTTAGGTTCATTTTTGTTGTACCAGTAGACAAAGCTCATAGGACAGCTCACAAATTCAGCTGTAGTTGTTCTTGGCACAGAAGCACCTCTATGGTGAGCTTGAGTGGGTGGTTTGTTCCCAAATCCAACCATGTATGATCTTCCTAAAGGGTTCTTGCCTAGCACATAATCCATCTGCATTTTTACATTCAATTCATTAGTAAACATTAACATATTTTATGTATCAACAAGATTATTTCTTTCTTGGTAAAACTTAAAAGTGGTGGACATTTGTGGTGTCTAATCATCTTGTACATTTCTGTACCGAACGATAAAGAAGGTTGCAGGGAGTGATAGACTCCATTTCTTTGGGGGTGTAATGGAGAATTTTTTTAGAAGTATAATGAGCATTCCTAGCATGCCAAGTGATAGAGATAGAGATAGAGATAGAGATAGCGATATAGATAAGTTTAGTTAGAATTTTAAGGTAGAGTTTGATTTAACGTATATTTATTCATATTAGATTAGATTAATTATAATATTTCGATAATGTTCTAATTTAGTAGAAATTTGTTTGATTTTATATTATTTCACATTTTTTTGCTATATAAAAAAAGAGGCCTTATTCGTCGTAATATTAAACCATTGATTATATGAATAATTTGATTTTTTTTTTTTTTTGTCATCAATTCTTCTCTTTTTTGCAACCATTTCTTTTTTTTTTGTTCATTAACAAATTACTCGATCATGCGTCAATATAGAATCAGAGCAAGTTCTATTCCCTTGGCCAAACAAATCTTCAATTCTAAAAATCCAAAACTCAAAATTCAAACTAACCTTTTTTGTCCAATGCATATACACATCGCTATCTCCCACTACCCATCCAAGCCGTATAGTGACCTTCATAGACAACCTTTAAAGTTGGAATTCATGGACAAGAACTAGATGAAATCCAAGTACTTGCTAATATTCTGAAGGGTACAATGCCATTCCGGTACTTGGGTATTCCACTTGCATCCGAGAAGCTCAAAGTTAGTTGTTATGCTCCCTTTTTAGACAAAATCGCAACTTATATTGGTGCTTGGACGTGCTCCTCATTGTCTTATGTGGGAAGGGCAGAATTAATAAAGGTGGTACTCCAAGGATTTGAATGTTTTAGGCTTTCTATTCTACCTATTCCGGCTACTATCATCTCAAGAATTATTAGTCTATGCCTTAGTTTCCTTTGGGGTTCTAAGAAGCCATTGGTTGCTTGGAGGGATGTGTGTCTACCGAAAAAAGAAGGTAGCCCTGGTTTTAGAGACATGAAAAGTTAAAATTCAGCATTACTTGCAAAATCACTTTGGAACATTCATCAAAAGACGGACACTCTTTGGATACGTTAGGAAAACCGATTCTGCCTAAAGGGGGCAAGTATTTGGGAAGTCTTGCCGGGGAAAGATGATTTGCCACTTTTTAAAAAACTACTGGGAATCTGGGACGAAATCAGGTAGCTTGTTGCGAGACTGCGACCGATGCTGCAGTTCAGGTAGCAACGTTTAAGTTGAATGCATGGACGGAGGGGGAAAGTTTTTACACAACTAAGGCTTATGATTTTTTCAGGCTGATCTGGGCACCGAATATCTAGAGACCTTTCATCACTCCAAAGCACTCTGTTATGCTGTGGTTGGGTGTTCAATCCAAGCTACTCACCAAAGATAAGTTACTATATTCGAATATTGATCGCAATTATGTTTTTGTGCTTCACATGAGGAAACATGCCAACATTTATTTTTTGAATGCCCAATATCCTCTCTCATTTGGAAGAATATAAAGGATTGATTGGGCATGAGAAGAGCTATGACTACTAATGCTAAAGTGGATCAAGAAGGGACTTCTTGGCAAAGCAAGGTCAAGAGGATTGTTTTAGCATGTACCATCCACTACATTTGGATGGTAAGGAATATGAGTATTTTTGAAGACTTGAGACCTCATATTGGTAGCATAGACAGACGAATCAAAACACAAGTAACAAAGTTATGTTCTCTTTGTATCCGAATGTTTTGTTTCGTTTTGAGTCATTAGCGATGGGTCATTAGTTCATATCGTTTGTACATTTTTTTTGTTTGTTTGTCCGGGTATGCCCGGAATAGTTGTATATCCCACTTGATTGTTGTTCTACCCGGTTTACTTGTACATGATTTTTGATATATATATATATATATATATTTCACATTTATCGAAAAAAATATAAAAAAAATTATCTCAACATCAATCAAGGGTGCAAATCCTTTCTCTTTTAGTTAGTTGAAAAAAGGTAGCAGTTTGTTCATCTTTAACTTAGTTCTGCTTTTAGTTTCTTTGAAAAAAATCGAAAAAAAGAATCTGTTGCCCAAAAACCTCTTCTATTACTGATTCATTTTCAGTTGTTCAGTAGAGCCCACAACATTACAATCACCATAACCAATAACCCATACCCCAAAACCATACACTATTACCAAGCCCAAGCCACAACTACCCATGTTCAATAATAAAGCCCAACTACCCAATAATAAGGTACGCCCACTGTTAGTATCTAACACACTTCGAAAAGTTATTATACAATTGTTATATTTATGAAGCTACCCACGTCACAACATCTAGGTTTATCATTGGTTTGAACATTGAATTTTTTTTCGACGATATTCTTGTACTGTAATCCTTATATTAAGCTTACCATCTGGTCAACATTTGGTACATATCTTCTTGTATTCATCAATCATGTAAAAAATAAGGCATACCACACCGGCCACTTTCAAATTCTCGTTCTATTAGTCCTCCTCTTGAAGAAAATATGATGATTTTACTCTTGAATCTATTGAATATTCTGATAGCGAGGATGAAAGTTTTGAGACTTCTCTTGTATTCCCTCTCACATTGATCTTGGACATAATTAATCGATGAGTTACCTATAATATTGTCACCTTATCCAAACGGTTTGCTTACTCCTGTGTGTGCTTTCAATGTTTGCTTCGTTGTGAGATTACCTCAAATGTTCGATAATTCCCAATTTGCCTTTGATAAGGCAATTGTCTGCTTACATAATCTTCCTTATTGAAATTCGGATGTTGCATATTAATTACTAGCATACTGTGTTAGCTCCCATATTTGTAACTAGCGTTCCTAAATTTTCATGCCAAATTAAAAAGCAAAAAATATTTTCAATCATGAAATTTTTGAGCTTATTTTTTTATGCAAAATATAAGCTTGGAGACTTTAATGGTGATTATTATATTTTTTTGAATCGATTTTCTAAACACGTTAAGAAAAGTTTTTGGATAATTCATATAACGATAATCTATTTGACTGACCATCACACTTAAATGAAATTTATATTTTCAATATAGTAGAATTATTTTCTTATTGGGGCCCATTAGCATCTTTGATGTTACAATCATGTTTCTCTACAAGTCAGTCTATGACGTTAGTTCCTTGTGGATGAGTTGAATAAGTCGTTACTAGTTGAAGTTCAAAAAGGAGAGATTGTCCATCTTGGCGAGATCATATTATTAATTGCATAATTAGCTCTTGTTCACTGATCGGTTATAATATTTGGTTCATAATAAATATCGGCCTCATTGACATAAGTTCAGTCATACATTTTTATCAAGAGTTCAATACAAATTTGGTCAAAATAAAAGATGAACCTACTTGGAGTATGAAGTTCATATCTACCTCGTCGGAGTCAAGTTCTCTTAACCGAAGAGAAACGATGGAGATAGAGATATAGTTTAATTAGAATTTTAAAGTGAGGTTTGATTTAAAGTATATTTATTCAAATTAAATTAGATTAGTTAAAATATTTCAATAATGTTATAATTTAGTATAAATTAGTTTAATTTTATATTCTTTAAGTTTGTTTTGCTCTATAAATAAGAAAGCTTATTCATCGTAATATTAAACTCTAAATTATATGAAATTAATTGATATCTTTTATTGCCCTCAATCTTCCTCTTCTTTGCAACCCTTTCTTTTCTTGTCCGTTTGACAAATTACATCCTCCAGCGTCACTCGGACTATATAAAGGATTTATTTATTGTATATAGTGAAGGTATATTAACAAGTGGATATTACTCTAATACTCTTACGTTGATGGTGGATCATTATAAATATGTGCGTGGCGATATTTAGGCCCGAAAGGAATCAGTAGAGTGAATAGTGATTTCACCTGTTGCTTGGCGAAGGCCATGAGATGGGCAGAGTTGAAGTTGTCGTTGCCACAAATTACTTGTTGTTTGTGGTTAGCTAAAATATCGCTATATACACTAAACAGGAAAGCAGTGCCTGTCACATATTGCATGTTGGCACCATCTCTTAGGTGAACCAAACCTCCTGTTCGTAAATTAGCCAACCTTAGCATAATAAACACATAATTAATATGCTAGTTTGAGTCTCAGTGATACCAACCTGGAGTTATGAAAACTTGGTGATCCGAGCTGTCGGGAAGTATTGAACATATAAAACTGTCAGCCTGTTGCTTAAATTTTTGTAAATCCTTATGTCCTTCCCAATATAGCTGCATTAAGAGCCAATATGTTGTTTATATATATATATGCGATGATGTTGATAAGATTAAGATTTTGTTTACCTCGGATAGGATGATCTGTGATCCGGCATATTTAAGGTCCCAACTAAACTCAGAAACAGTTGCACTTGTAGCCTCATCTTGTATATAATCCATATATATTGATCTTCTGCTTGCTTTGTATAGCCATGTTGCTGCCCACAACAATTCATCCTGTCATTATTCAGTAACTCACTGCTTCAATATACCAAAAGGCTGAGAAATTTATTAAGTTTTTTCGATCTTCTATGTAGATTTAAAGGCTTCATAAATATGGTTAAACAGGATTGATCTCCTGCCCACCGGTAAGGTGGCAAGATATTTCCTGCCCACTATTGTATGGTTAAATACGGGTTGAAATATATTATTGGTAGCCTGAAATTATTATCACAAGAGAGTGAGTGAGAGCTTACATGGTATCCCGAATAAGAGCAATAGAAGGGACATTCTCCATCATAGGTTCCTTGATACGTTTTTGCAAATTGAAAAAGCTGCCAATAGAAATGAATACACGATGTTGGGAAATTAATCTATTACTTAGAAATTGATGAACCATGAAAACATAGAACATGATTGCTGGAACGTACTGATTTGGCTCTGTTGAGGAGGCGACGAGAATAGGCATGATCAAAGTATCTAAAGACAATAGAAGCAGCGGCCATTGCAGCGCTAGTCTCTGCTGCAATCTCCGTTCCAGGAGTACTTTGGTCAATTTTCAGTACAGTTCGAGGCGTCTTCATGTTTTCTGGCCTCTTCCAACATTCGTGATCTTTTTGCGGATCTCCTACCTTAATGACCAATTTTCAATTTCGTCATTAGATTTGGCTCCACACAGTCCAACAAATTAGTGGTGGGACGGGGGTTCTCTCTCACCTGTACATACAAGCGATTACGTCTAGAACTGGCTTTCAGAAAATAATCAGTGCCCCAACGGATTGCAGCACGAACATTTTCTATTTCTCCAGCTGACTGAAGCTCTGACCCGTAAAAAATAGCAGCCCATGACAAGGTGGTAATAGTAAAAGCCATGGGGAGACCATACTTAACGTTGTCCCCTGCATCATAGTATCCTCCCACAAGATCCACCTACAATATGAATTTAATTCAAATATCTATATTTTTATTCGTTAATGGTGAAATGTTAGTTATGTAGTCAACATGTGGTTAAATTATGTCTTCCAACACGCCCCTCCGCGTGCACGTTCACAATTTTCAATTTTTATAAATAATTAGCAACCAGACTTGAACTCGATATATCTGTCCGATATCATTTCGAACCAAACCATATAAACGTTGAAGCAGTTAGAGATGGGGAGATGTACATTTTCAAGTTTTCCATCTTGAAGAGCAGAATCTCCTCGCCATGACGGTCTGTGGTTCGGAGGAAGCTTTCCGGACCTCTGTGCCTCCAAGAAAATAATCGACTTCGTAAGTGCATCTTGATAATTAAAATTTCCAGAAACACCGGAGAGAAGAAGACATCCAATGATGCATACACTCAAGGCATTTCCAGGGATCTCCATGAAGAGAAATTACAAAAACGAAGCAAAAGGGATAGGGTGGTGAAGCACATATATTCTGTTCATTTTAACGCGAAAGGTGGTGGACGAATGAATGGCAAAAATTGTCAGCTCAAAAGTTAGTTATGGGACGGGATGTAGAGGGTTGAAAAGAAACGGATTGGAGGGTGCATATTACTTCTTTAATTTATGCTTTACAAATTTTAAATGGTAAAGAAGTTTTTTTTTCCCTCGAGAAATAGATAAAATCGGATAAAGATATATGTACATAGCCATGATGGCCATCTCCCTTCACCTATCACAAGTGGCTATGACATGTGATGATCAACATGGACGAATCGAGCATTATAATTCAGCTAGGACGAAGACCGTTGACTGTTGACCGGTGATCATTGACCGATGACCATTGACAATCAACGATCGTAATAGCCGAAAATATAATTCGATACACATGTAAATGTACTAAAATGTAAAAAGTATATACATATGAAAATATAATTCAATATAATCCAAAATACTAAAAAAAATACAACCCTACTATGTATTACCTCCATTAATTTTTTTCACTTAATCCTAATTTCCTAAAAACCTAATTTCCCAAATCACAATTCACAAATCAAAAATCAAAATTATAACTCATAAACTCATAGTAATACAACATAAATTCTCATTTCTCATAATTCATAAATCACAAATTCACGCAAAAAA